GGGGGAGGACCTTGGACTTTCCACAGGGCAGGGAACCATGACTGCTCTTTGGATTAGAGAGGGAGGGGGAGAGGAGTGGGGGGAGGGGGAGAAGAGTGGGGGGAGGGGGAAGGAAATGGGAGGCTGGGAGGAGGCAGAATTTTTTTTTTCTTTTCTTATTCTCAATAAAAAAAATAAAGCCAATAAAGGGCTATTTTAAGTACTGTAGCTCTGTTTGAAGTCAGGGTTTGTGATGCCTCCAGGAGTTCTTTTATTGTACAGATTGTTTTTGTTATCCTGGGTTTTTTATTTTTTCATTTGAAGTTGAGAATTGTAGGGATAAGTCCTGCCCCTTAGGGGGCGTGTTTGCCTCAGGCTAATGTTTACCTATAAATCTGGTGAGCATGCTCCCAGCCATCACTTCTGCTTTCCTGATTTCTGTGGGAATGGTGGTTCTGTAAGTTTATTTTCCCATTAAAGCTGTATATATTTTTACAATCTATCTGTATTCATTTATGTCGTTACAATTTGGCGTCCAACGTTGGGCTATTTTGCCCCCGCCCCGGCACGGGGAAGGGGGGAGTCAAGCTCCATCTTTCCCAGCCTTTGCAAGCAAGATTAGCTACCGGAGCTCAGGAAGCGCAATTGGACTCAAGCGGGTAGCCCACTAGCTAACACAGCACACTCCCGGGTGCCGGGTGCTGTGTGCCCTGTTTTAGTTCATGACTCGGGCCCCAGTGCAGAGTCCGAGATACACTCGGCCAAACACGTCCATTCTGCCCCGCCTGCTCGCCAGAGCAATTAACCCCTCCCTGTCTGCCTTGGCTAAGTTTGCAGCGGAATCCCGCTGCCTGAATTAACAGAAGCTCAAGTACCTGTGGTTTTGCAACAAAAGCCGCCGCAGGGGCAGATTTGGTCTAATACAAAGTGACTTGGCTGGGTGGTGGTGGCGCAGGCCTTTAATCCCAGCACTCGGGAGGCAGAGACAGGCGGATCTCTGTGAGTTCGAGGCCAGCCTGCTCTACAAGAGCTAGTTCCAGGACAGGCTCCAAAACCACAGAGACCACCACTGGCAGGAACTGGTCATTGCAGGTAAAAAATGTTTCTTTTATTAAAAAAAAAAATGCCTGAACACGTTACCATTCAAGAATTTAACATTTTTTTTTTTTAAATTGTACCATGTGGGAGATTTTTACAAGCAGTGTCTATCACCTCACATCTATGGGTCCTTCTGTGATTCGTAGTTTTCCTTGGCACTAAATGGTTTGATAATAGAAATATGATAAAGTCTTTACGAGACAAATCCAGGAATCTTTTTTTTTGCTTTTTTCTTATTTTATTGAAAGAAAGAAAAATAATTTCCACCTCCTCACAGCCCCCCACCTCCTTCCCCCTACACCCCTCCTCTCCCCCTCTCCCCACTTCTCTCCTACTCCCCCCACTCGTCTCCCCCTCCCTCTCCAGTCTGAAGAGCAGTCAGGGTTCCCTGCCCTGTGGAAAGTCCAAAGTCCTCCCCCCTCCATCCTGGTCTAGGAAGGTGAACATCCAAACTGGCTAGGCTCCCACAAAGCCAGAACATGAAGTAGGATCAAAAC